CTAACGCCTACCGTGAAAAGGGGCCCCGGCTTTTAAGGTCTCGTCCGAAGGACCTGCAACTTTCAATTCAAAGTGCCGAGCACCTGGCGAAGGAACAATTGTTACCTATTTTTTTATTGACTTAGGTCAGTTGCGGCCATGATTCGAACACACTACCTTCCGATCACGGAGCGAGCGCTCTACCGGTGGCACATATGAAGAGGGCCCCTAGGGTAGATTTTTTTTATGTTTGCAACAAGCTTCCCTTTTGAAATGACCGATTTTATATCAACTTTTAATGTTGCATATTGAAATTAATAAGTCGCATGTCAACATAATTATCTTAATCTTAATCTTATTATTAATTATCTCGCATGTTGACATAAATAAAACGCAGGTAATCATAATTATCTGGCATGTTGACATAAATAAGTCGCATGTTGACAAAAATATCTTGCATGTAAACATAGTTATCTGACATGGTGACATAAATAAGTGGCATGATGACATAATTATCTTGCATGTTGACATAATATAATTAAATAAGTCACATATCAACAAAATTATCGTGCATGTTGACATAAATATCTTGCATGACGAAATTTTACTAAAATCAATAACATCGAAATGTACGACTTTTCAACACTTTATACAACCCTTCCTCACAATAAAAAAGATGGGCGTATTTGGCGTGTGAACTGCATCATAGAAGCTGCTTTTTCAATAAAAATTGAACTCGTAAATTTACTTACCTTGTCATTGGTGATTTACAAAATGGTTTTACTAAAAACATTCTGATTGTACAGAGAAGTACTCCGAAGTATATTCATATGAAGCATAATTTATTCAAAAACTTCTACATGAGAGGAAGAAAACACTTTCCGTGGCCTTCAACTCGACATTAAGATATATTGACGACGCATTATCAATTAACAGTAGTTAGTTCCGTTCATATATCGACTTGATATATCCCAGTGAACTTGAAATAAAAGATACCACAGAGTCTGACACATCTGTTTCAAATTTGGATATTTTTACCAGAAAAAGATGTTAATGGTAACCTAACAACAAAACTTCATGAAAAATGTGATTACTTCAACCTTTTTATCGTCAACTTCCCTTACTTGTGTAGCAATATACCCTTATCACCTGTTTATGGGATTTATATCTCCCAGTTGATTCGATACGCCAGAGCATGCTCCACGTACGAACAATTTCTTAAAAGTGGCAACTTATTGACAAACAATTTGATGAAACAAGGATTTCAACAGTCTGTTTTAAAGTCATGATTTCGTGAGTTTTTTGATCGATACAATGACCTTGTCAGCAAATACAACCTATAATTATGTCAAATGCTGACTGACTTTTTTCATACTAATTGTTAGACCTTATTTAAACACTGAATTGTCAACGGATTTTTCTGTTTTCCCGATAATGACAATTAGCACAAGGCGGGTGTGACCGGTCGACAGGGGATGATTACTCCTTCATGGCACCTGATCCCACCTTTAATGTTTTAGAGGTCCGTGTTTGCTCTGCTCCCGATTTGTATTGTTTCAATGAACTTTTGAGCTTGATTACTGTTCGTTATCTCCATATTTCATACTGGCGTTAGTAAGTAAATTTGCCCATATTAAAATCAAATTCTCATTAAAGATTTGTAATTTGCATGTCAACATAATGATCTTGCATGTAGACATAATTATGTTGCGTGTTGACATACTTTTCTTGCATGTTGACATAATTTACCTTGCATGAAGAAGGTATAAATATGCCACCATGGTAAATTTCATAAATTTATGTAGTTTGTTTTTTACGTGAGAACATACATGCATGTACTTGAATATTGCAAACTAAGTAGACACCTAATAATGAAAATAATTAATAATACACTTTTACAACTTCTTTTCAATGATATATTATTCTCAAATTATTACTTCATAAGTCAGAATCGCCAGCGCAGCCCAACTACTCGTACTTGTATCGTTTACAGTACTTATCTTCCTAACAGAATAAATTATTTCTTTTAATAAACTTGTCCTTTGAAAAATAGTTTTTTTTTGGGGGGGGGGGGGCATCTAACGTAAAATTCACATAATGAGAGAGAGAGAGAGAGAGAGAGCACACATCCACATATTCATGTACAGTACCTGTAGCAAATGTAGTTTAACTTTCTTTGTTTTGTTTATATCAGTCACAATGATTCTTTTCTTTAGATCTGTTTGTAAATTATTTTCAATGTCAATCACAATCTGTACGTGTAGTTACACGAAATCCATGCACGGTGCTACACCTGTCAATCAAAATCACTCGATATGTGAACTTAGTCTGGTGCCATGGAAGCATTTCCCATGTGATTTGAAAAAAATCTTTAATCAATTTTTATTTTACGCTTTTAAAGACAATATTTAGGAACATTGTTAGACTTAAGGCTGGAGTTACATTCTGTGAATTAATCACACCTGCAGTCTTTAATTTGCATTAATTGAGGACTTGTTCTTACTTGTATATTAATAAAGAATCAGAGAGCACAGCATGTGTGACAAGTTGTGATTGAGATTTTACCTTTTTTTAGGATAAAATGATTCATGAAATAAATTATGCATCTGAAAGATACCGGTACCACATATAAATGTATACGATTTATTTGTAATAAGAATCTGTAATTGAAAATTGAAATTGAAGAGTTTAGGTTATAGTTCCTGATAATTGATGGTTCATTCCTTCCTTGTCAATATTTAGTTATAATTTACAGTCGTGCCCCCTCAGTGAAGTCTTATGCCTTTCTTTTTTGATTTTGCTTATCAAGAAATTTCTGTTTTGTTTTGCCCCACCCAAAAAAAATGCAATTGCTTTCTACGGGCTTGAGTCAGAACATGACTTTTATAATGATAGTACCCATATAAAAATGTTTTGGTGGTTCATTTCGATGTTTATTTTTTTTTAATGTGAATTGAGATAGGACTTTAAATTATTCAGTTTATAGAAAAAAAAACACTATCTCAAAAATTAAATTTTCATATCTACTGATGAAATCATCATAAAAAAAACATTATTTCAAATATTAACTTTTCATATTTCCTGATGAAATCAGCATAGAAAAATTAAACATAGATACTGGATTACATATTACTTGAATTTATCGTAATGCAGACAATCCGCGGGCGGGCTTCAAGAAATAAGGCCAGCACAGAAACCTAAAGATGTCAACGTTTTCCAAGACCATTGCAGAATGTTAAACATATACAATAAATCAGACAATCACTGGAATGAACTCAAAGGAAAAAGACTATTGTGGATAAGATATATTGACATAGGCTGAAATAAACCGATATTAGTCCTCTTTCTTGCCACCCTTTCCTGGTGCTCTAGGACTTTGAATGTAAGGTCGGCTTCTTTTGCAGGTCCCTTGGGGTTGGGACTCCCCAAAATTTTTCTGAGAATACTCTTTTGCTTTAGTTTTAAGATGTAAATTTTGATTAAGATGCTGCTTCTCCCCTCCTCACTTTTTGCACTGTTCGGTAAAACATAGGCAAAATCTAGCATAAATGTACTGAAAAGTAAGAGAAAGGCTCTCCCCACTTTTTAAGATTTGAATTGAGATAGGACTTTAAATTTTAAAACATTATTCTTTACATCTGTACATCGAAAAATGTAACTAATTTAAATATTTTTTTTATATTTCCGTACAAAATCAGCACATATAATTAGACACAGATACTGAATTAAACATTTCTTTATCTTGTTGTAAGGCAGACAATGTTGTGTACGTTATAGAACATGATGTGATAGTATTGTGATGCACCTTGTACTCTTTGGTACAAAGAGGATATTCAGATATTCAGGCCAACGCAGAAACCCAAAGACGCCGTTTTTTCAATATCCAAATTGGACATAAAACATGTAAAATGAACCTTTAAACCATTGAATTGAACCAAATAAATTACGAATATGAAGGCTAAGATATTTTTACTCGATGTATGATCTGTAAAAACATGTGTAAACCTGTCTAGTCGGAAAGACAAAAAGGGGATTACTGATAACATGCAAAGTATGTCATGGCCTTGACGCAAATTCCAGGTCACTCATAAAGAAACTGTAAAATCGTTTACTGTCTAGCTACTAGTGAAACATTGGATGTTCATACCTCATAAAAGATTGCTAATGACCCAATGTCACTACTTCCTGTCCGCAGCTCCAACGGAAGACCTACTCATTGCTTTGCAACGAGCTTTGCTCTAGTTGTAATGTCTTTTATACCCGTCAAAATACTCCAAAGAAACATATTCATCTGATGGGAGTTCTTGTATAAAACGTTATCGAGAGCCATCTTAGAACAGTCATTAAATACAATTGACATATGTTTAAAAATGATTTTTAAAATCATATAGAGGTACAGGTCGTCAATTAGACTCTTTCTTCTCTGAATTCAAAATCATGCAAGACTTAACTTTATTCTGGAAATCTGGAAAAATCTCTCTCAGGTAAGAGATCTGAAACAATATATGAAAAAAAATGTGTTTATTGATATAAGAGTTTCTTGGGCGGCAAAACTGAAATAACTATATTGATAAAACGATACCATACTTTAAAGTATATTAAGTAAATTGTAGAATTATTAAAAAAAAAAAAAAAAAAAAAAAAAAAAAACTTACATTTTACTATGCTTTTCTATTATTTTTGTTGATCTTGTCCCATTTCCTTAAAAGTGATGCACACATGTGTGCATCACATCAAAATTGTTTCAGATTCAAGACATAAGTTACAAGTAAAATGTTTACCAATTTTCCTAGTATCTTAATAACATATCGTTATAATGAAGCACTGATAACTTCCTAGATAACTTATCGTACGGTCGATCAGCAGTACAAAGCACAACATGGCCATGCTTCAGCAAACAAAACTGTATTTCTACTACGTATATAGCTTCTAACGCAGTGGATGGTAACAACAGTTCATGCACAAGGACCAGGTACATTGGTTGGAATAATTCCTACGACAAGGTTTGGTGGTACGTTGACATGGGTGGTATCCGCAGCGTGTATGATGTCAGAATGCAATTCAAGGATTATAAAGATAAACATGGAAATTTATATCGCAAGTATTCCATTTCAAACACGACTACCTTTGCATGTTTTTGTATGCTGTTCCATCTTGTATGAAATTTATTTGATAATTAGAGGTTTATGATGCAATGCAATATAATGCATTCTTTTTAACAATATCAAAGCAATTAAATTTGATATTTTCCTCCTTAGAATTTGATGCTCAGACCAGTAATAAACTCAACATAATTAATATCAAATCGATATAAAATGAATATCCCGTTCATTTTGTCATCTAATGATTTTCAGTGACGAGGCAACAGAGACACCTGGCGGGATTTTCTATGTATATTTCAAATACATCTCGAAAAGAAGACGGATACCTATGTTACGAAGATTTGCCAACACTAGGGTTACCGGACTTGAATTTCGGTACAAGGTGCATTAAATATGGACGTTTCGTCATCTTTTACAACGAACGACTTGGACAGAAATCTTATTCTTCGTCAAGATATGAAAACCCTGCTTTAACAGAGTTATGTGACGTAGTTGTGCGAGGTATATTAGCTCTTTTATTACATATTTCTCTGTACATCCCGTCGATATCAACTTTGAAATAATTTTAGCTCATCCGAGCGGAAGACTCAATTGAACTTTTCTGATCGAAATTTGTCCGTTGTCTTTCGTTGTTGTCGTCATTGTTGTTGTCATAAACTTTTTCAAATTTTCATATTCTCTTTTGGAACCTCTGGACCAATTTCAACAAAATTTTGGACAGAGTATTCTTAGGTAAAGGGGATTCAAGTTTATAAAAATGAAGGGCCACAGCCTCTTCCAAGGGAAGATAATTAAGAAATAGAGAAAAACTGGGTTGGATCATTTTTAAAATTTTCTTCTCATGAACCAAATGGACCAGAAAATATGAAACTTATATGAACGCTTCCTAAAGTAGTATGGATTCAAGTTTTCAAATCATGACCCACAGGGCTGGGGTGGGGCCACTATGGGCGATCAAAGTTTTACACTGTTATTCATATTAAAAATTTTCTTAAAAAATCTTCTCAAGAAAGACAAAGCCGTGATTAGTCATATATAATATGGAAGCACCCTTAATAGTGTAGATTCAAGTTTATTCAAATTATGACCCTTAGGGTAGCGTGGGGCAACAATATGTAACCTAAGTTATACATAGGAATATAAAGGTGAAAATCTGCTGGTGAAGAACAGTGGGGACATAGTTACTCAGAGAAATGTTATGGGCCTCTTTTTTGGTATTCCAAAGTTCTGATGTCACAATGGTTTAAATTTTATGTGATAATGATGGAGTCATAATCAGTTAGGATACTATAAACAATGATTCATCTGTAAAACGGTGTAAAACGTGGTAAAAAGAAAATCAAAACACACAAATTGTCCTATATCCTATGATTTTTCGTCTTATCATTACTTTGCTAACGTGATTCTACTTTCAAGAGAACATACTATTACTTAATTTTGCTCCTATTTTTCTCTGCTCAGAATCATACTAAGTGTGCCATCCTTTTCTCTCCATACGGGAGGAATTTGTCATATTAGTTTGATTCAACGTTAATTGGGGACTTTAGATAAGGTGCTTCAGTAGTAAGTGTCCGGCCATTATAATCATTTGTTGTGATTGTAGGTTGTTATCAAACAGGGGTATATGGATATAGCTGTAATATTAACTGTCCGATCAACTGTCAAGGCCGGAGATGCGACATTGTTAATGGCTATTGTCTTGGATGTACAGAAGGATGGTCAGGATCGAAGTGTAATCAAGGTTGGTGGAATTCTAAAAATTATATATTAAGCTCAATTATAGAATAATACACTAATGGTTTAGAAAATGGGAAATAAATGTATCAACATTATTTGATTAACATGCCTTCAAATCTTTTCACTTTCATTATTTTAAAATATTTAAACAATCAGCTTGTCCTTCCGGATGGTATGGACTTGAGTGCAAATTAAGCTGCTCTGAAAACTGCAGATACAGCGACATCTGTAATCACGTGACAGGTAGATGTGACAGAGGATGTACTTCGGGATGGAAAGATTATCACTGCGACAAATGTAAGATATATATTTATACATACACGTGGTGGATGTGGTTGATATTGCCTTTATTAAACGGGTAAAACCTTATTATCAAAACTTCTGGTCGGAACTACTTTTGAAACAGTCTTTAGCTTCAATAGTTCAATATTGCTAAGAATTGGGAGCTTTTGATTGTAAAAATCCTTTTGTCAATGAGCAAATTTCACAAGGTGTAAAAATGTAAAATAACATCAAAAAATACAAGTACTTTGAGAAAAACAATTTAGTGATTTTTAGTTAAAAAATGAGCCATCTTGATATTCTAAAGACGATTATTATACTGTGGGAAAAAAACGAACAAAAAGGCATTTGTCAGCCATTCAGACAAAAAAAAACATCCTACCTTGAAGTGTTTTCAAGGGGTCGTCTCTAAATCTTGATAAAGATAAAACCTTCTTCTTCCACTAGAATACTTCACCACTTATAGTGTATTTTCTATCGTGTGGTGCCAGGACAGCTTTAATTATAAATATAGTTATTTACGGTAAGTTTAAAAGTTTTAAATTCAGGTCCTCTATGAGCGGGTGCTGATGGACTGATGGCGCTTGAAAGTGTCTAATGATATAGCATAAAAAGTTTAAAATGATAAGAAGTTTCAAGGTCTGGTCCCACCTGGAAAGAACGATTTTTGATATACTGTGGTTCTTGCATACGTTACAAGAGAGGTGATGTTAATGGTCTTCCCTCTTTAATATCAATGGAGTGTCAACAAAATGATACACAATCCGATAAAACCCCTGTCACACCGGAACTGCGTCCTCACGGCGATCGCACGGCGTCCATAAAAATGCAAAACGCCGAAGTGAGCGCAGTCGAGTTCCTACAGCGCCGAGACAACGCGGCGAGATCTCCACTGAACGCCGTAGGGTCTCCTAGAATGCCAGGGAACGGCGCGCACTTTGGGCATGCAAAAGGTAAAAAAAAATGTTGGCATGCCCTCTTTCTCAATATCATATCTCCATATTCCAAAATTGAAGTTTTAATGTGAATGTGTTATTAAGTTATGGTTTGGAGGTGTTTTTCTCAATTTGAATGAAAAAAGGGGTCAAGGTCAAAATTTTGGTGCAGTGCAACATGTGAAAATATCTTCTTTCTATGTTACAAATATATATATATATATATATATATATATATATATATATATATATATATATATATATATATATATATATATATATATATATATATATATATATATATATATATATATATATATATTACGGCTTTTCCCTTTTATAAGATGCTATTTGGAAACCACATCCAAAGGAAAGAAAAAGAGAAACACTTTATAACTACTTTAAAACCAAAGCTTAATAGCATTGTTTGATTTTCCCGTAATAACTCCTGGGAGAATAACGTCATAGTGACTTTATTACGTTCCGCTGATTATGACGTCATAATAGACGTTACTATGTGACAGTTCGGAGACTTGTTTGTAAAGCATCTGAAGATTGTAAATGAAAGCGCTAATGCTTTACTGTGTTAATTTCTTCGTGTTTTCATTTTAATTATTTTAATTATACTGCAATACCGACCACAGTGGATCTATGGACTTTTGATATATATATATAAAATGTACATTGTCTGTAAATTAGAAATCAATTCATCTAAATATATATTTTAAGAATTTCATTTAAAATTATTATTAATTCTATTTATTTGGGCCATGGCTGAGATGGAGATGACAAGCTTTTTACAAGTGTAATGCTTATCAAATCATCAGACTGCCTGCATGGAACATAAAACAACTACTCATTTAAACTCCTTCAAGGAGCTCGAGTTACTATTTTCTTATTGATCTCTCGATCTCGATCTCTCTCTCTCTCTCTCTCTCTCTCTCTCTCAATATTTCATTAAATACACTATTACCTATTTACCTATGCACACCCTGTACATAATTTTCCCTGATATTCAAATAAATATATTTCAGCTATAAAGTTTGAATTTTACTTATATCATTTACTCAGTTTGATGTGATTTGATGAAAGATGTGGAGATACCGAACAGTATTCGAGGTCAAAAGTCCATTAAACATTACAAAATAAGAGCAGAGAAAACACGGACCTCTAAGGCATCAAAGATGGGATCAGGTGCCATGGAGATGTGAGCATCCCCTGCCGACCGGTCACACCCGCCGTGTGCTCCTTGTCATGATCGGGAACTAACGGAAAAAATCTGTCGACAATTCAGTGTGTAAATATAGCCTAACAATTAATATGAAAAAAATTAGTCAGCATCTGACTTAATGATAGATTGTATTTGCTGACAAGGTCGTTGTATCGACCATAGAACTTACGAAATGATGACTTTAAACGAGACTGCTGATATTCCTGCTTCATCAACTTGTTTGTTAATAACTTACCTCGTTTTAAAAATTGGTCATACGTAGAGCATGCTCTGGCGTATCGAATCAACTGAGAGATATAAACCCCGTATGCAGGTGATAAGGATATATTGCTGCATAGGTAAGGGAAGTTGACGATTGAAAAGTTAAAGTCATCACGTTTATCATAAAGCTTTGTTGTTAGGTTACCATTCACGTCTTTTTCTAATAAAATATCCAAATATGAAACAGATGTGTCAGATTCTGTGGTATCTTTTATCTCAAGCTCACCGGGATATATCGTGTCAACATAAGAATGGAAATAAGCATTGTTAATTGACAATACGTCGTCGAGTTGAAGGCCACAGCAAGTGTTTTCTTCTTTTCACTTATAAAATTTTGAACAAATTCTGCTTCATATGAATACAAAAATAGGTCTGCTAATAATGGGGTGCAATTGGTACCCATGGGAATCACAATAGATTGTTGGAAGACCAGGTCTCTAAAAACCACATAGATATTGTCAATCAGAAACTCGAGCATCTTTTTAATGTCAACTTCAGAGTACTCGTGTGTTCAATCAGATTGTTTTTTAACAAAGTGATTTTGCAAATGACCAATGACAAGGTAAGTAAATTTACGAGTTCCCTTCTTAAAATAGCAGCTGTCAACGATGCCAGAAAGTCTGTTCTTTAATTTATCGTGGGGAATAGTGGTATATAAAGTTGAAAAGTCGTGAGTTTTTATGTTATTGATTTTGGTAAAATTTTGTGATTTCAAATGTTCCAAAAGTTCCTTGGAATTTTTTAGTATCCACATCTGATTTACACCACTTCTCGAATATATTGTTGCACAGTACTCTTGAAGTTTCTCCTTCACTACTGTTAATATCTTAGTGAGGAGTAAAGAAGGAGGCTTGGTAGAACATTTAATGGAACCCGCTATGTATCTTTGTTTGTAACGATTTTTATGAAGTTTTGGAATTCAATATAGATATGGTAATTCAATTCGGTTGTTGGGAATATTAAAAATATTAAAAACTGACGTAAGATTTTGAAGAATTTCCTCCTTAGAAAGGGAGCTATGGGTATAAGTTGGATTACCACTTATAGAATTAAATTCTAGTTCCTCTAAAATACAATTTATGTAATGTGCCTTGATGTGATTCCTTCATGTCAGAAATATACTATTTTCCTATTTAAAATTCGACTTATATTGTTTGTTACACATATGTATACATGTTTATTCTCATTTCTTATTGATTATACATATAAAACACAAAATTCGAGATTAGGTAAAGCGGAGAATAATAAATCGTGGTAGCTATAATACTTGAAATCAATAAACACATATCATAAAGACAATACAGATAATGCAAAAAACGGAACTTCAGAAAAAGTCAACATCCATTCCTCCGTAGGATTCGAATTGCGATTCATCCACAAGACGTGCAACATTGTCGAGATGGTCCACCGTTTTTTTTTTTAGATTGATTGATTGTTATTGTTTTACGCCGAGTCCGCAATATTTCAGCCATATTTTGGCGGTTTTTTTTTTTTTTTTTAGAATATTGAAAGATACAACGGACTTAGTACCAACTCTAACCAGTACTTAATTTAGCGACACTGGCAAATTTTACCCGTGGTACGTCAATTATTTTCATAATTTATTATTTGTTTTTATATATTTGTTTTTATTGATTTTTTTTTATTTTCAGTATTATTATTATTCTTTTTCTGTTGATTAAATAAATACTATGCACACAATACTCGAAAGTCAATCTAAAACACATGTCAATTATTTGCATTAACATGGTTATTAAAACTTGCAGTTAATGAATCACGCAATAGGAATAAACACCCATTCTACTTTGGCCCTAGTAGATGTTAGAGAAATTACCCCAGGTATATAGCCCATGCATTTATAAGCTTGTGATATCAAATGCTCAGGAGACACAACACTTGAAAAGGAATTCTTTATTATGCATTGTTTTCAGAAAATTCAAAGCTGAAATTTTAAATCTATACCCATGTCAACATAGTGCAACGTTTATCCATGTTGATAAAAATGTACATTAAAAAAAGTATGATTAAATAGCTAAATCAGTGTTTTTAATAGCAAAATCAAGCTATACCAGTATAGTTAATTCAACTACAGAGCTTAATCAATTTTAAGAGATTGTACAAGACATGTTTTAATTCATAATCATTCTTAAAATATTTATATAACCATTCCTGATTCAAGGGAGAGCTAGGCATACATGCATGACCAAAAAGTCAATGATCTATTGATTTAAGAAAGGTGTATGTTATGAGGAGATCAGTAAATAATGATGACAAGTGGGAAACGGTCGGGTTAAAATTTACAAATTTTAGGAGTTTTCAACATTTAAGACCATGCAGGCATTACTCCTTCTCCTTTTCCCCCTTCGCATCCCCCTTTATATATGTAAATTATTTATAACTCGTTTCGATATAAAACAAATTGTGAATAATACAAAAATACACACGTACACAAAGTTTAATTTTCTAATTCTAGGAGGGCGGATTGACCCTAGGGGGTCATGAATAAAATGTCAAGCAGATTATCACTGACACACTTTTGACGCAGGTCATATTGTGATCATTGACGTATGTACGATTTCTAAAACGAGGTAAATTATTGACAGACAAGTTGATGAAACAAGAATATCAGCAGTCTCGTTTAAAGTCATCATTTCGTAAGTTCTATGGTCGGTATAATGACCTTGTCAGCAAATACAATTTATCATTGAGTCAAATGCTGACTGACGTTTTTCATACTAATTGTTAGGCCATTATTTACACACTGAATTGTCGACAGATTTTTCCGTTATTTCCCGATCATGACAAGGAGCACACGGCGGGTGTGACCGGTCGGCAGGGGATGCTAACTCCTCCATGGCACCTGATCCCACCTCTGATGTTTTGGAGGTCTGTGTTTGCTCTGCATCTATATTGTAATGTTTAATGGACTTTTGAGCTTGAATACCGTTCATTATCTCCATATATTCCAGTTCCAGGGTGAGGATGAGTTCAAGGGGGGTTATAACCTTTATACCATTTAATGCATAATGACTCAAGGGACAATATTATATATGGTTAAGGGGAGAGGTTTTCGACCATTTTCAAGATATATGATCATTTGAAGTTTTAGGGGTTGGGAATGACGTCCTGGGGGTCATGACCCCATATATCCTATTTAAATGTATAATAATAGAAAGATTACTTAAAGCTTTTGCTTTAATGAAAGTTATTTTCTTGTTTCTGGTTCCAAATAGTCGGAATGACCCAAAGGATTGCCTTCAATGTATAATTTGCAAGTGGCATTCCAATGACCTTTAACTTTTCAAACTATAAGCCCCTTAACCATTGTCTTTTCTGATTATTTTACTCCATTCTATACTAAACTTTTAAAATAATATATTCATAATGTACTTACCACCTGTTATAGGTACTGCTAACTTCATAGAATAAATTAAATCCATTTAAAACGCACACTTTGAATATTCCTACTGGTAATAATGATGTACATACACCTTGTGCAATCCAATAATGATAACGCAGTGTGGCGTAATACCAACGCCATGTACGGGTCTAGAAAATTTCCAAAAGGTGTACATTGTAAAATTTATATCATCACATAGAATGTTTTATTTTTACATAAGTTTGTGTTATCTATTCAAATATGACAGGAAAGCAGGTCAATCGTGGGTGGGGGTTGATTTTTGACAAAGTTGATCGGGTGTAGGTTTGGAAAGGGGTGTTCCTACCCAAATGCTGCAGATAAAAAATTTCACAAGTCAATTTGGCATCTAATTTTTTCACCAAAAAAGCTATGCACTAAAATAATAATATTAGTTGTTTTGACAATTAATTCAACACGCTCAAATTATGGGCCAAAAATTAACCGACCCCCTTTTTATGCACATCTTAAAAATATTCTCTCTTTAATAGAATTTACATTATTAAATTATGTAATATCAGACTGGTAATGAAATATTTACACAAGAGGCCCATATGGGCAGAATGTTAATGCGTGGATCTGGGGGGGGGGGGGTCTGGACCCCCTAGAAAATTTGCAGAGTTATTTAAAAAGGATATACTGAAGCAAATAAAAAAATGACTATGGACCCCCCCCCCCAAAAAAAAAAAAAAAACGTGGACCCCACCATCAACCCCACGAAATAAGTTTTTTTTCACTTTTGGAAATGGATTTTAGTTTTGTTTGTTTGTTGTTGTTTTTTGTTTTGTTTTGTTTTGTTTTGTTTGTTTGTTGTTGTTTTTTTTTTTGTTTTTTTGTTTTGTTTGTTGTTTTTTTGTTTGTTTGTTTGTTTTTTGTCAAGAATTTTCTAGACAATTCCTGGAAAAAAAATCCTGGATCCGAGCCTGATGTTCACCTGAGCATTTTATGCTTAGTTTAAATGTGTGCTTCTTCCCTGGTTGCCAGAATTTGAAGGATAGCACATTTAGAGGCAAACATCTTAGTGCGGGTATTACTGTCTTATGACAGCATCTAGTTAAAGTTTAGAAACATCATTAATTGTAATAAGGTAGAAGACCTTGACACTTTGTCAGAATGGATTAAATGTTGAAATTGTGGTTGATGTTGAAATCTCGTGATAAATGATAAACAGTTAAGGCATATGAAAGCTAGCTATCCTTCTGTCGATCGTTATTCAAAAGTGAGTAAAGAATTAGAGTACATGATCAATATGTACTGGTCCCTGCTTACAAAGCAGGTAACAACAAAGTCTTTGCTTGTAAGACTGATTATGTCAATTGGGGTTTATTACTCCCAGTTGATTCGATAAGCAAGAGCATGTTCTACGTAAAAACAAATTCTAAAAAGATGCAGACCAGTAACAAATAAAATTGATGATAGAAAGATAACTACCATTTCACTTAAAGTATACTTTTCGAAAATTCTATGGTCGTTACAATGATGTTCTTTGCAAATACAATCTATCGTTAGGTCGAATGTTACTAATCTTCCATGCATATTGTAATGCCGTTATTTTCAACTGAAATGTCTACGATTTTTTCCGTTTACCCGATCATGACAAGGCGCACCCGACGGCGGGTGTGATCGGTCAACAGGAGATGCTCACTCCTTCATGGCAGCTTAATTATCCTACCTCTGTTTTCAGAGGTCCATTTTTTGCTCTGATTACAATGCGTATTGTTCAATTAGTCTTTTGAGTGAAAATGAAAAAGGTGAAGATAATGAACAGTGATCGATCTAAAAAAGAATGCAAACAGTACAATCTGTGAACAGTGCATAGACCACAGACCCCTGTAAATTCCAGATAGGATCAGGTGCCTAGGAGGAGTAAGTATCCCCCCGTAGACTTGTCACATCTACCGTGAGCCATATATATTGATCAGCTGCGGGTAAACGGAATTTTCCGTAATCCAGCTCAGCATGAAAATGAAGGCCTAAGAATGAATAAGAAATATGTCAGTCAAAATACGACCCAATGATAGGTTATATTTAATTGCTAACAAGGTTATTATAACGACAATATAATTTACTCAGAGCCTGCTTTTGAGTATCGAATAAGTTGGGAGACAAAAACACTATATGCAGGTAATAGAGGAATATTACTACATAAATAAGTCATCTTGTTCGTCATGCAGTTTCGTTGCTAGTTGGCCCTTATGGTCTATAGTCAGTTAAACATCCAAATATGAAACAGATGTGACGGACTCCGTGGTATGTTTACTATTCGTTATATCTTCAAGTTATATTTATTGATTTGTATTATAATCTTAAATATGATAATCAATATTAACTTATCATACGTGTGTGATTAACATTTCTCTTATGAGAAATCAATATTTGTTTTAAAAAAAAGATTACGTCCTATCTTTCAGATTGTGATCCGGGTACTTACGGACCTAACTGTGAGAACACCTGTAGTGGACACTGCTTCAATGGTACCTCGTGTAACAGAGTGACCGGAAACTGTGATAATGGGTGTGATCCTGGTTATACAGGGGACCTCTGTGACACAGGTGTAATGCTTATTTATGTAATCTGCTGATTTAAACTCCCTTTTCAAAAATGTGTCTGTACCCCTTTAACCCAGTCTGGATTAACATTGGACTCTTACGAGAAATGCTGACTTTTACAGTCAACGGCTTACTTTGAACTTGTTTATTTACTTATTTAAACCTGCACTACGTACGGGATACGGAATTGATATTAGATAAGAAAACATTAATAGTGATTAAAAGTATGGTGTTAGGGGTGCTAACATGATTTACCGGTATACAATCAACACAAGAGATGATGGCATGCAGAATAACATACACTGTAACTTAAAATACCTTATTCGTGATGAGTAGTATCTCCTTTCAATCTCATTTTCTAAAGGAATCAAACATTCCAGGAAGAAAGGAGTTGTTTAATGTGGGAAGGGAGGGGTTGAGGATATGTTGGTTGCCGTTCCCTTCTTAGAGATCCTAATGTGTGCTCTGAAACGGCCAATTATTATCTTTTAATGAATTATTAAGCTAAATACATGTATTTATATCGCTGAAGAGTTTCCATATATCGTCCTAGTGTAAAAGTAGCAGAAGGATATACGATCAACTAGGGCCTAAGGCCACCTGCTTATTCAAAACTATCAAACCTGTTTACTCCACTACGAAATATAGTGCATTGCAACCGCAAAGTGAAAGTAGAATAAATCGTTCTACTGGGAAGCCTCAACAAATTTAATATACAACTAACAGAAAATGCATTTCTTTTAAGAGTAATTAAGGCTAAAACCATAAAAATAAATGATTCTTTAAAAATCTTCCTCTTTAATCCTTGAAATTAAGTAGCCAAACTGTTGGCATGATTGTAATAAACACTGAGCCCTCTACAAAATTGTGAAATTCATGGGTGGGGTTCTGTTGAATATATATTGTAAAAATGCATTGTTACTTAAAAAGTCTTCTCCTCTGCTCCTGAGTATTATGCCGATGAACTATGTACATAGTTATGATGAGGAAGGATGCCTCTTCCAAAATTGTGAATTTCATGGCCCCTGGGTCAGGGGTTCTGTTGTTAGGGCGGGGCTCTAAAGATCCAAATATGAAACAGATGTGTCAGATTCTGTGGTATCTTTTATCTCAAACTCATCAGGATATATCGTATCGACATAAGAATGGAAATAGCCATTGTTAATTGACAATACATCGTCGATATATCTAAATGTCGAGTTGAAGGCCAAAGCAAGTGTTTTCTTCTTTTCACGTACAAGATTTTGGACAAATTCTGCTTCATATGAATACAGAAAAAGGTCTGCTCATAACAGGGGGCAATTGGTACCCATGGGAATTCCAATAGGTTGTTGGAAGACCTGGTCTCCAAAAACCACATAGATGTTGTCAATCAGAAACTCAAGCATGTTTTTAATGTCAGCTTCAGAGTACTTGTGTGTACAATCAGAATGTTTTTTAACAAAATAATTTTGCAAATGACCAGTGACAAGGTAAGTATATTTACGAGTTCCATTTTTATTGAAAAGGCAGCTGTCAATGATATCAAAAAGCCTGGACTTTAATTTATCGTGGGGAATGGTTGTGTATAAAGTAGAAAAGTCGTAAGTTTTTAAGCTGTTGATTTTGGTAAAATCTTGTGATTTCAAATTTTCCAAAAGTTCCTTGGAATTTTTAAGTATCCACATCTGATTTACACCACTTCTCGAATATATTGTTGTACAGTACTCTTGAAATAACCTTCTCAGATATCAGCTGAATAAAATGGAAACATTTAAGAAATGAATTTAAATTTTGAAGATTCATGAGGACATGAACTACGACGCTTAACGCCGGCATATTTCATGAAGCGCGTTAGCGCTTCATGATAAATATGCCGGCGTGAAGCGTTGTAGTTCATGTACCTCATGATTTTCAAAAATTGAATTCATTTCTTATATTTAAATTATTTTCTGATGAGTTACCACAAATTACGCCATTCAATTGTCATTTTTAAATCAAAACAGTTTGCACTATAGTTTTAACGTCAAGTACGGTATTATGACGTAACAATGGAGATATTCATGCTCATCCATGGTAGTTCATTAGAAAATGAACTATCTTCTAATTTGCAAAGAATCTTAAGGAAAAATATTTGGAAATGTAAATATTTAACGATGTGTTTCTCCCCTTACAATAGCATGTCTACCTGGTTATTTTGGGATGCGTTGTAGAGACAACTGTAGTGGTCACTGTCTCCACAATCAGAGCTGTCATCATGTCGATGGAGTCTGTAACCACGGTTGTGCAGCCGGGTATAGAGACACACAGTGCTTTAATAGTATGTAAAAGTTGACCATTTTCTTTCTTTGCAATGCTGATTTTTTTACGTTCAGTAATTAGCAATTATTAATCGTGGGGGAAAATGCAATAATGATAAATAATTTGATTTTTAATTAGGATCTGCATGTTCTTATTTAAGTTTGTTCGGCTGGGTTCTATGGAATGAAATGTCAGGAAACATGTTCTCAAAGATGCCTTGAAAGTTGTAACCATATTGATGGTTTTTGTTCGTGTGCCTCTGGATGGATGGAACCTCCAACATGTAATACAGGTATCGAAATGATAAGAGACGTGGAAATAGTGAGCATTTTTAAAAATATCTTCCTTTTAAGGGAAAAAAGATTGTGTTCTATGCCTAAAAAATGAAATAAAATTTTCTTGCATTTAATCTTGTGTTCTTACCTCACTCAGTTAAATATGTTGTACCTTTATTCTGAAAGAGTGTCCAGATGGGTTCTTTGGAGTCGATTGTGGTTTCCAGTGTAGTGATAAATGTGTTAACAATAAAACCTGTAACAGATTTGAGGGAACGTGTGATGGAGGTTGTCAGAGGCCCTACAGCGGGCTGATCTGTGATCACCAGGGTAAAAAAGGCTGCTTATTTAATTTTTTTCCGATTTTAAGATAAAACTATTCACATTTTTAATCCTTTTGTTTAATACTTCTCCATTACGTTATGTATTATCTTCAGTGGCAATGTATTTTCTTTCTTTAAATCAAGCCCTTGTATCGCATAAGGAGGTGGACTGTGGACTTGATGTTTCCTCCCCAGCCGTAATAACTGTCATCAGTATCTCTACTTTATTAAACATCATAGGATTCTTTATTTGTTTCTCATCATTAAGGTGATTATCATATCATATATTAAAACTTAGATTGAGAGATACTTTTAAAAGTCTCTGACACTATTGTCACATAAAAAAATTGAAGAATTCAAAGAATAGGGTACGGTTTTGGCTTTATTGTGCCATTAAAACTTAATATTTTCAAAAAGTTATGAAATTGGCTTAAATATGAGTTGAGTATATGAATGTGATAAATCATGAAAAAATGTGACATGAAGTGGGACCATTCTGGAAATATGACGTCATTAATTTGGTACATTTCTAACTAATAAATAGAAAAAGCCTCAAAATGACCCATTTCATGGGTTTTTCCCTTAAGAAAACAGTGGCCACAGCCGTCACCCACTTTAGTTTTCAGATATGTTGTGTAAAATTCTTTGTAAAATCACATTTCTCAAATTCTTTGTAGGCGATGCATGTGCTTTTTATTATATGAAAGAAAATTCCGCTGAAAATTAGTGTCTTCTGCAACTCTTTAAGAAAATACGGAAAAATGCACAAGTTCAGGAAGCCATTCAAGAAAAAAGATTTGTATGTTCTTACTGCATGAAATTTCATAGATAAATAAGCGATTTGTTTTAATTTTTTACATCACTTCCATATTTTAGAAAAATACAGTGCCAGATTTGTATTGAAACTGTACCTTGTTCTTTATTCGCTACGCATCTGGACTGCAAATGATATGATCTCAAAAACGTCTTTAGGAACTTATTACATTGTATTATCATCATTGCTTGTTTTAAATTGTTGTCCTTATAGACATCGCATGATGGCCTGTTGGAAAATAAATGGAAGAAGAAAGGCACATTGTACTGGAACAGAAATGAAAAACAGACCAGGAGAGGATCGTCAAAATTATCAAGAGATAAATATCATATCATATCAGAATTTAACAATTAATTCTTAGACTTTTTGATACAGGATAAAACACCAGTTATCATTCACGCCTTAATTCGTACTGTTTAATTCGTAATACTATTTGTTTATGACAAATAATGTGCAATGGAACCATGAAACAACATTTTTACCCATTCCAGGAATATTTTTTTTCAATGTGGATGTCTTTAGAAAATAACTATTTTATATAAAAAAATTATAATTTGCATACATAATCTATATTAGTCAACTTAATAAAGAGCTTTGCAACTCACTCATTCAAAGTAAAATTTGAGTAATATACATGACATGTATTTAGAATTATTTTCATTATACATTCTGAAACATCCTTTCTTCTTTAATTATATATTTATTTCTTTCTTCAATTCACGCGATCTCTAGGGGGCTATAATTTTTCCAATATTGTTTATTACTTAGGGTGATTTCACCACGGATAGGTCATCCTCTTATTTCAAAGAATAATAAGAGCTTCAAACTTAATACTATGGCTATTCTTGTGAAGTAAAATTGAAGATTAGGATAATTCAAAGGTAATAAAACGTTTTATAAAGGAATAAATATCTTGATGATAAGAAAAAGAGAGCAAATCGGCATTAAAAGAATGGGTCTGGGAAAATGTACCTTGCATCAGACGTTAGAATATCCTTAAATTTTTGAATTATCAGCGATAGATTGAGAAATTAAACTTAAAACAAGTCCTGTTGGATTTAAAACTTCTAGACTTTAATCAAAAAATAAAAATCAACATAATAAAATATGTCCTGGATTATTCATTATTTCAAAAACCTCATTTTCTTTAAATTTTCATTTCAAAACTCGTATTAATTTTTTGGAGATAAATCGGTGTTCATTATCATCACCTTTTTCATAAGTCAGTAAAAATACGATCCAATGGTAGGTTATATTTGCTAAAAAAAAAAAAGTCATTATAACGACCGTAAAATTTAAGAAATGCTGACTTTTACGAGGATGTTGAAATTTCTTTAACATCAATGAAAAGGGTGAAGATAACAAACAGTTATCGACTCCAAATTAAAATCTACAAACAATACAAATCTGTGAACAGAGCATTTATACGGACCCCCGGAAATTCCAGATGTGGGATCAGGTACCTAGGAGGAGTAAGCATCCTCTGTCGACCGTCACACCCGCCGTGGGCCCTATATATTGATCAGGTAGACGGAATATCTCGTGGTCAAATTTAGTATCAAAACAAACGTCTAGCAATTGGTATGAAACAAGACATCAAAAAATACGATCCAATGTTAGGTAATATTTGCTAAGAAGGTCATTATAATGACCATAGAATTTACGAAATCCTGATTTTAAACGAGGTTGTTGAAATTCCTGTAACATCAACTTATATGTCAGTATTTTGCCTTAGTTTAAAAATCGATCGTACTCAGAACATGCTCTTGAGTATCGAATAAGTTGGGAGAAGTAAACACCATATGCAGGTAATAGTGGAATATTGCTACATAAATAAGGAAAGCTGACGATGGAGAAGCTGAAGTCATCTCGTTTGTCATACAATGTAGTTGTTAGTTGGCCTTTATTGTCTGTAGTTAGTAAAACATCCAAATATGTAACAGTAGTGGTTACAGCAAGTGTTTCCTTCTCAAGTAGAAGTTTTAAATAAATTCTGCTTCATAGGAATATAAAAAGGTTGGCTAATAAAGAGGCAAAAATAGTGTCCCTCGGAATTCCAACAGTTTGTTGGAGTGTCTGGTCTCTGTAGACTACATACATCTTCTCAATGAGGAACTCCAGAATCCTTTTAATATCAACTTCAGAGTACTTGTGTGTAGAATCAGGGTGATTTTTAACAAAGTAATTTTGTTGATGACCAATCAAAATTTTCGAGTTCATATTTTATTGAAGAAGCAGTAAGCAGTTGTCTATGATATCAAAAAAACTAGTTTTTAATTTATCGCGAGGAATGGTTGTATAAAGTATAGAAAAGTCGTACGTTTTGATGTTACTGACTTTGAAAAATTTGGCGATTTTAAATTTTCTAAAAGTTCTTTGGAGTTTTTGAGAATCCACATCTGATTTACACAACTTCTAGAATATGTTGTAATGCAGTACCTAGTCATCTCCTTTTCAACAGATAATATTTTTGGAGGAGTAAAGATAGGGGCTTGGTAGTACATTTGTTGGACCCGGCAATGTATCTCTGTAAGGATTTTATGAAGTTTAGGGATCTAGTATAGGTGGGTGGAGAGTAAAATGTAAGTATAAGTTGGATTTCCAGACGTAGAATTAAAACCAAGTTCTTCTAAAATACAGTTATAATAATGAGCCTTGCAAACAAAGAGGAAATTGTTACAACCTTGTAGGCTGGAACCATAACAAATTGTTCATATAGTCTTTGTAATTCTTTCATCACCTCCGATTTAGTGAAAATGGAAGGATAGATGGTTCGCATATTACCTTATGTAAAGTTTGTTTATAATTGAAAAGTTTGGAAGGAACAGTTTGGGAATATCTGTAGGAAATGCAGGGTGTAGTCTTCAGCTTGAAATATGGAGGAATGCAAGACTGAACTTTTTTATGAATGAGAATGTTACTAATGTTCACTGCATCTATTCCTTGGTTGGCAAATTTAACTTTGAGGAACTGGCGGGTTAATCAGAATCATTATCTTCCAATATACGTGGTGGCTTAAAGAGTCTGTACTGGGCAACATTTATAATCATAAACACTATCTTACATTCTGCAGTTGAAGAATCCAAGTATGGACTTGCTTTAGCTTCTTCAAATAGTCCACTCGAAAAGGTCAAAGGAACCGAGTAAAATTTAGTGCGAGTGTGCTTAACGTAGGTCGCGGGTTTGCAGGCCATTTAAAAGTGTCCGAAAACGTACCTTGAAAATTAGTTATATGAATCCTCTACCTTCGTTTTATATTCTCTGAAAATTTTACAAAATTCGTCTGCATCATTTTTGTATAATTAAATCTCAAACATGCCATTGTTGTCGTAACATTTTCGACGTTATTCTATTGAATTATATAAGAAAAACGTCGTTTTCGGCTCATTTTGAGGCAAGATTTTGTTTAAAAAAATATCAATTATTTTTAATTGGTGCAGACGACGTTGTTTTCCCTTTGGTATTTTAAAAAAGAATTGATTTGAAATAAATCAATGTGAAAAAATTAATATGTCTTCGGGTTAGTTTTCGCGTAATTTAAATGTGGATTTATATCGTAAAATATAACATTTTTAAAACGACGTCATTAAATATCGCGACGTCATGCTTGACGTCGTGAATTCTATCCGGTATTCAGTGCAGAAAAATAAGATAAAATAATTTTTTTTAAAAAAAGAAAGAAATTCGCGTCTATCTGCTTTCAAGTGACTCGTGAATCGCATCATAATAATTCAATATCAATGAAATGATTATTAGACATGTTTCTCTTGAGATTATGTTTTTGTACGTCTTATATTAGTGAAAATTCTTGCAAGGGACGTAAAACAACAATCAATCCTTTAGTTTCTCTCTTCCAATTTACTTTCTTTATGTGTTGTTTTCTTACCGTTTCTTTTCTGTTTGTTTTATTTTGCTTTTTTCCGTAGATTAGACGTATCCTTACATTTGGGTGTGTATTTTCCTTTTCCAGCATGTTGGCGGAAAACGGTCTCCTCTAATTCAAGTAATCCAAGTATATAAAATGTTTTTATTAAGACCATTCAGCAAGGCGCTCAAATCTACGAATTTCTGCCAAATATCGTCCCGGCTAAATACAAATATTTTCAGTATATATTTAAACAAAATATTTATTTTTACATACCACATTTTCAGAGGGGAAAATGGGACAAGAATTAGGAAATTAATTTTATCTGACGTAATCAACAGCCAGTTTTTTTAGAACATTAATTCTACTTGTTGGACATAGAAAGCAAAGTAGTGAATAAAATTTGTAGGTAACAGCATTTCAAGCTGTTGCTTAGGGGACGATAATTTCATTCGGGGGTGGGGTGTGGGTGGGGGCTTGCAGATTTTGAAAATAAATAATCTGTCTCGAAAATTTTTGAAATAAATAATCTGCCCTAGACCATGTAGACTGGGCAAGAAAATAAATAATCTGTCCATGACTAGTTCTAGCACCCCCCCCCAACCCCCTTTAATTTTATTTATTTATTCATTTTTTTGCTTGTCAGGCTTTGTTCAGTGAAGAAGAAATAAATAATTTGTCCTTGGGTTTTTTTTTTTTTTTTTTTTTTTTTTTTTTTTTTTTTTTTTTTTTTGGTTTTGGAAATAAATAATCTGTCCTTGTTTTTTTTTTTTTTTTTTTTTGGAAATAAATAATCTGTCCTTTACCGACATGAAAATAAACAATCTGACTCCGTAAAATGTGCCACCCCTCTCCCTCAGAATCAAGTAGTTGTCCCCTAACAGGAGGTCAGTGTCGCTAAAAAATTGTCTTTATGTTTCATCGTACCTTAGCAGTATTTAATTTATGATAAACTTGTAGATCTATATATTTAAAAAATATTCTTTTTAAAAATAAAGATTAATCTTTTGATGTAACAGGTGTATTTGCAATTTTTTTTAAATAATGGCTTCTTTATTAATAAAACAAACTGTTAATTGAAATACGATCAAAGGAAAAAAGGTAAGTTGAACCTTGTGTCCATATCGTTTCGCGACACCAAGTGAAAATAAATCAATTGCAATTTCTCAGGCTTTCTCAACCACTTGTTTTTCCAAGCTTGCAGGAAAGGCCCGAGAAGATGTGATTGATAACAAATAATTAAACGTTTTTTAATACTTTAAGTGTCGATCATTCGAATAGTAATAAGCCTTCTTTACTAAATTACCAATTCCAACAAAAGTTATATCTAAGTATTGTATCGACTATACAAATCGTAAAAAGCCTTCATTATTTGTGATAAGTTGTTTCTTAAATAATATAACACTAAACTACCAATTCCAAGAAAAGTTATAGCTAAATAATGATATACTGAAGAATTTAATAAAACATAAATCATCGCAGATTTCTTTTTTATTGTGACGTCATAATCAAATGTGCACAAGAAAGTCGCCCAAATCATATAAATTGCGTACCCAGTTTTAACGACGTCAGCAAACCCGCGACCTAAGTTAAGACCTTATTGCATGCTTATTGACGTAGGGTAAAATGAATCAAAAGAGGCACATGTATATTTGATTTACGATCAATGTCGGATCGAAAAAATCAGTGAGTCGATAAAGACAAACTCCTTATGTTTCACAGTGCTCAATTTTAGAAACATCAATTAAAGCCAAAAGACAGCTTTATGCAAATCAGTTTACTGCACTTTTCACCAAGGTGTGTATCTCCAAGTGTCAACCCCCCTCCCCCTCCCTCTTTTCAGAAATGAATTGATGGTTACTTGATTACTGCTTTATCATTTTTTGTGAGAACTTGGTCAGTTTTAGACCAAACCTGCCAAAGGAGAATTATTATTGGATAATTGGAAGTCTAATCTTTGGGTCCTGTTTATCTGAGAGAAAGTATAATCTATATTATACGACAAACAGGATGACTTCAGCTTCTCCATCGCCATTTTCCCTATTTATGTATATAGTAATACTCCACTATCACCTGCATATGGTTTTTATATCTCCCAGCTGATTTGGTACAAGAACATGTTCTCTGAGTATGATCAATCTTTAAACCGAGGCAGACTCCTGACAAATAAGTTGATGTTACAGGGATTTCAAATATCTTGTTTAAAGTGAGCATTTCGCAAATTCTATGGTCTTCATAATGACCTTGTTGCAAATACAACCTATTGTTGGGTCGTATTATGACTGTTAGGACATTGTATTTATACATTTATACATTTTATACATTTCTCCAATCGTCAACTTCCCTTACTTATGTAGCAATATACCATTATAGCATGCATATGGGGGTTTTGTCTCCCAGTTGATTCGATACGCAAAAGCTATAAACAATTTATAAAACGAGGCAAGCTATTGACAAACAAGTTGATGAAACAAGGATATCAACAGTCTCGTTTAAAATCATCATTTCGCAAGTTCTATGGTCGATACAATGACCTTATCAGCAAATACAATCTATCATTAGATTTGTCTACGGATTTTTCCGGGTTTTTTTCCCGATCATGACAAGGAGCACACGGCGGGTGTGACCGGTCGAAAGGGGATGGTCACTCCTCCATGGCACCTGATCTCAGCTCTGATGTTTTTGGAGGTCCGTTTTTGCTCTGCTCCCGATTTGTATTGTTTAAATGGACTTTGAGCTTGAACACTGTTCGTTATCTCCATATTTCATGATACCAGTATTACCACGGATTACTCCGTTTAACTAATTAATACAGAGGACTCATGGCGGATGTGACCGGTCGACAAGGGATGCGTACTCCTCCTAGGCACCTCAGAAAATCAGTTTTCACAATTCTTTTTCTTATGGATATCCGCTCCTCAGCCAGGAACGATGATCTGAAAATTATTATTTAATTTTAAAAAGTTTCATATTGAAACTTATTAGCATGATAAGAAATTAGAAGTGATCTGTGATGTCTTGCAAGATAGCACAAGACTTATTTCACTATTATATAGACCTAACAATTGAAGTAAATAGAACTAAAATATAGTATACAAAATGTAATTTTCTCCAAATGCCTGAATATACTAGTATACCTATAGTTTTTTTTATTACAAATGTATATGCTGATCAATTTTTCAATCAGAAAAAGCATAGCTTGTGCTCTTTATGTGTTTCTTGATAATATTTTTAAGATTTACTAATTTTTCCTACATAATATGTTTAACTATAATGATAAACTTTGAAGAAATACTTTGGATAGTAGACATTACTTTTGTGAATTCTGAGACAACTTTGTTTGCATTTTTAATTATTTACTGCTGATTTTCAGAACCTGAGGATCAGACTACCTTAATGCAATACATACGTATTGACAGGCAAAATTTGAGAAAATACAACATGAAAATAATGACAAAGTGTTCTGAATCTGTACATATAAATTTTATAATTTGGTCACACAAATAGAAGATTCTGAAAGGTTGACACCTGATACCAAGGGTCCTGTATATGTTATAAATATATATTTTAATAAAACATACTAGTTCTTAAATAAATCCATTCAATTGAGAGAAGGCCATATTTTCATCCGTGTTTGTACATGTATTTGTCTATAGGTACCTCTTTCTAGGTCTCTGATCAGATGCCTTCTGTGTAAATGTCCATCTATCTGTTTGTCAGTTAACAATTTTTTAAAATGATACATCTCCGATTTAAATAAAACATTGTAGTTTGTACAGAAGTATAGCACACTAAGATATATAATTTTATGCATCTTTTTTTCTTGTTTTGACGAACGGTGTTACCATGGTTAGTAACAGAAAAAAAGAAATTCCAAGTGGTGTTGCCTTGGTTACTAAAATTTAAGTGAAATTCTTTGAAAACGCTATTCCTCCTACAGTTCTGATACGATTTTCAATCAAACTTTGTTCAGAAGTAGTAGATCACACTAAGATACATAATTCTATATCTCGATTTTTTATTTCGACATACAGTGTTGTCAAGGTTACTGTAGCAAAAATTAATCAACCTGTGAAATTCTTTCAAACGCTATTCTTTCGAAAGCTTTGGTCCGATTTCAATAATGCTTGATACACAATTAGACAACCATTTTTTTTTATAAATGGGTTTTTGATTTCGAGGAACGATGTTGTCATAATTACTAAACATAGAAATTTATGTGAAATTCTTTCAAAATTCTTCTCCGACGACACTTTTGTTGAAGTAGACCAAACTAAGAAACATAATTCTGTATTATATCATTTTCGTTGAATGGTGTTTCCATGCTTACTAAAAGTAGAAATTAATATCTGTTAAATTTTTTCGAAAAGCTATTCCTCTCACAGATTTGTGCTGATTTCAGAAAGACTTGGAACACAGGTATACTTCGAAATGATAAACTAGAACATTATAACTTCACTAAAAGATGTAAAAGCATTAATAAATTAGAATTATGTGTGGAGTTCCTTTAAAACGGCACACTCCTACAATTTTGGTCAGATTTCAACAAAATCTGGTACACATGTATACTAAACTAATGCACATGATTATATAGTTAACGATGTTTTTAAAGCTGCTTAAAAAAAAATACGTGAATAACTTTCAAAACCTTACTCTTGCATTTTTATTCCCCCGTATTTAAGATTCTGGGGTATATAGTTTTTGCCCTGTCCGTCCGTCTGTTTGTCTGTTTGTCCGCAAAAACTTTAACCTTGCCCATAACTTTTGATTGGTTGGAGCTATGACTTTCATATTTCACATATGTATTCCTTGTGACAAGACCTTCCTTTGGATACCAACCACTTTGACCCTTTGACCTTGACCTAGGCGTTTGACCTACTTTTGAAAAACTTTAACCTTAGCCATAAATTTTGAATGGTTGTTGCTAGGGCTTTCAACTTCACATCTGTATTTCTTGTGACAAGACCTTCTTTTGGATACCAACCACTCTGACCCTTTGACCTTGACCTAGGAGTTTGACCTACTTTCAAAAAACTTTAATCTTTGCCATACCTTTTAAACATTTGGTGCTACCGCTTTCATACTTCACATGTGCATTCCTTGGGACAAGACTTTCCTTTGAATACTAACAATTTTGGCATTGACCTTGACCTTGGAGTTTGACCTACTTTTAAAAAACTTTAACCTTGGTCATAACATGTGAACGTTTGGTTCTAGGGCTTTCCCATTTCACGAACATGTATAACACTTTTGACAAGACCTTCCCTTGGGGCCCCATTTGACCTTGACCTTGAAGTTTTACTTACTTTTAAAAAACTTTAACCTTCGCCATAACTTTTCAACAGTTAAAGCTAGGGCTTTCAAATTTCATAGGTATATTCCTCGGGACAAGTCCTTTCTTTAGGTACCAAAATTTTTGATCTCTTGACCTGGAGTTTGACTAGCATTTGAGAAACTTTAACCTTCGCCATAAGCTGCCATACGGGGGCATCAGTGTTTCACAAGCACATCTTGTTGCTTCGATAGCAACAAAACTTGAAAGAATTAGGACACTTCTATCTCGAACTTCATTCTCTCGAACTTCGATATCTCGATTACCATGAATGTTTCGATGTGAGTTAGAAGTCCCAACCACTTTTTGGCTCACCTGAGCCGAAGGGTCAAGTGAGCTTTTCTAATCAAAATACTTGCCCGCCGTCGTCTTTTCAATTTTCATCTTCTCCAGAACCACTGGACCAATTTCAAACAAATTTGCCACAAAGTATCTTTGGATGAAAGGGATTCAGATTTGTTCAAATGAAGGGCCACATCCTTTTTCAAGGGTTAAGAATTAGTGAAAATTAAATGTTAGCTTTCAAAAATCTTCTCAAACACCTTCTCTTCTCAAACACCACCGATTCAGAAAAGTTAAAACCTATGTGAAAGCTTCACTTCATAGTTTGTTTTAATTAATAGGGGATCAAAGTTATACACAGGAGCATAAAGGAAATATCTTTAAAAATCTCATTCTCAAGAACAGTAAAGCCATGATTAGTAATATTAAAGGGGCTTAGACATAGATTTTAAGTTGATATTTTCTAAAATTATCAGTATTATATCATCACTTATATGTTGCTAGAGCATTTCACGCCAAAATATAATTAAAGTGTGTTTAGAGACTTATTTTATCTGGAAATTATTAAAACTACGAATTTCGGGATGCGTTTGATTGATACATATCCTTGCACTTTCACGAAGAAAAGTAAGAATTTTATCTTGTATTCATGAAAAATTTTAAATCTCTAATCTAGATAATTAAGAGTAGAAATGTAAGAAAAAAAAAACAAACACAACTCATCAGTATTGTCAGTCCGTGCTCAGTGATGTGTGCCTAGTAACCAAATTGAACACACCCGGTAAAATGTAAATATTAGCAACAGAGCTCGTGCCCTGTTTAAGAACACAGATGGTTGAATGAATAATAAAAAAAAAGAATGTCATTGTCAGTGAGTTCTGAGAAAATTCATGTAAGTTCAATTCATTAAACTGAAGTTCATTTTTTTAATCAACATAGAAATATAAAATGTAAACAATGCAACTGTGTCTAGGCCCCTTTAATACAGAAGCAGGTAGTGAGGCCACAACAGTGGATCAAAGTTATACATAGGGGTATATAGGAAATATCTTAAAAATCATTTTTTTTTAAGAATAGCAAGGCCATAAATAGTTAAATTAATTCTGATAATACTGAAGCATCCTCAGGTAGTGTAGATTCAAGTTTGTACAAATCATGACCCCTGGGGGTAGGATGGGGCCACAACAGGGAATCAAAGTGGTACATAGGAATATATAGGAAATATCTTAAAAACATGAGTAGTCATATTAATACAGAAGCATCCTCAGGTAGTGTATATTGAAGTTGTTCAAATTATGACCCCTGGAGTAGGATGGGCCACAAAAGGGAATCAAAGTTTTACATGGGAATATATTGGAAAAAATCTTAAGAATAGCAAAGTCATGATTAGTCTTAACAATATGGAAGCAAGTTTGTTCAAATCATCACCACCAATCCCCCCTAGTGAGATTTTCTATTTAATAATGAACTGATTATTGCAGATCTCTATCTAAAGTGTCCAGGTGACTGATGTTACCCATGGGCTCTTGTTTCTCTATGTATCTTAACCTCAATATCAACTCAGTTTCCTTCAGTCCCATTGGGTTCAAGGTAACAAGGTTTGACTGTGTATAACTGTTTTAGGTTGAAGGAATAAAACTATTGTAGAAAGACTGTTCTACACTATTATAATGGGATGCATAATCTGTCTAACTGTCTGTTTATTGTCTGCTCAGCTGTGCAAAAGATAATGGTACAGGGTTACTTTCGGTAGTTCAGTCTTTAGTGGAGTGCATATATCCAAACAATTTTCTGTACATTCTTTCATACTGCAGTTTTATGTTCATAATTTTATTACAGAGTGGGGTGAATTTTAGTATGGGGTATACCTACTATAGACAAGTCCGTAACATGTCTGAAAATCTTATGGGGTTAAGTCTTTATTTTTTTTTTTACCTTGCACGGTCACATGAAGCATAAATTAACCCTGTTATTGAGTAGTTAACCCCACAATAGAAAATAACCCCAGAATACTGGAAAATACGCACAATGTATCTCTCATCTGTATAGCTGTCTACTTAATGTCTCAAGAAAAAGATTCATAAATAAGCTTGCTTTGGGACAAAGAAAAATCACTTAATTTTTACAGAAGGTGGGACAAAATCACAACAAATCCTCCATCCAACTTCATTCCCAAAGGTAATAAAAACACAAAAACTGAACACTGTTACCAGTTTATTGGTCTGTTACTATTGATTAACAAGATCTAGTCTGATCAAACACACAGACAAACAAACATACACAAGAGGCTACTACAGTGCTGAGATTCTACAGAGCGGAAAGACCTCTCATATATGTCACCATGACATCAGGCTTCATTCCTTCCATAATAATGAGAAATTTGTCAAAAGTTTTAACGATGTATGATTTACATACAATACAGATTGTGTCTTAAATGTATTCAGCATTTAGATTTACTGTAAAAACTTTACTCAAATCCATTGAAAATATGCAAATGACCTCTATTCTACACAAAATAATTCCTTTTTTCTACTCATCAGAAAAATATTTAAAATACAATGTCAGTAATATCTTCAATCATTATTATGAATTAGAACATGTAATACAAAAGCAATTCCATCCATGTTTCTCAAAACAAGAATTTCAATGTTTTTAAAACACTGACAAAATGGAAGGACCCAATGATTCACATACCCTAGCAGCCTTATGGAATTTGACAACAACAATGCAGATTAATTACTTAGTATCTGATCTCTCAGCAGCTACCTAAATTACAGATGGAGGTTTTCCTATAGCTTTACAATTTGGTTTCGGGATATTGGCTTCAATTCAGATTAAATTAATGAGCATAAAACAGAAACAAAATTCACAACCACAGTAAAGAGATAAACTTTGGAATGTATATAACATTTACATGCATGTATATATGTAGAAATAATTAACAAAAATATAAACAACAGTAAACATATAAACATAATATATAACTGATATAAATACACCACAACCAAAGATTCTAATACATAAGATTTCTGGAGAGCAAAGCATCAGAATCTGTAGCCATAATAAGTATAAGGTACATGTGGATTTCTTATGAATGTAAACGGATTTAACTTTTGGGATTTCTTTAAATAAAGACCAAATGTTAACAGCTTAGTGTGAGCACCTTTATGTCCTTTTGCTTGAACTTGGTAGTGTTGTATGACTACCTTTTGGATTTCTTTAGATATACATCTGTGAACCTAATCTCTTGGAAGCACCTGTCTCATGAGACAAAGCCATTGTAAACCAAGAAATGCTACATGAACACCCTGCTGTTGGAATGTCACCAAAAATATAAACAAAATACAAACTTAGTCTAACATATGTCTTTTTTTAAATAACAAATCAAAAAATAAGTAACATAAACTTTGCAAACTGTTAAGCAAAATGATATAAGAGATTCTGGATGGGGTTTTTTCCCTAAGTAGAGACTTGGTTTCAATCACATACATCAACATTAATTTGATTAATACATCACAAAGTTGATCACAAGAACTCTATATAGGGACCACCCTCAGCTGTCAATGACTGGAACATTCATGTAGGTCATAAAATCAGACATAAATTGCGTAAAAATGATAATCTCTCTATCTGATGAATTTTAACACATAACTAAAAAATCTCCATACTTCAAAAAATATCATCCACACTTTGTAAAACTAAATTGTGAGAAATGTGCAATAACATTTTATACATCATGCTTTGATTAATAATGTGCTTCCTAGGAATACAGAGTAGGGAGATATACAAACAGTTCCTGACATTAGACTACCCTAACAAGAACAACAACTCCTTAATACTAGAATATATTGCATAACATTCTCAATCCATCAATTGCACTATGCCGTTCATACAACAGTTCTTATAGAGTAGATGAGTTTTTTTTTCAGCGTAATATTTATGATGGGTGTCACTAATTACAGTTCAGAATGCCCGGGAGAGGGTAGGAGGGATTAAGTCCCTAGCACTGACAACTGCCACTCTCTGGATTGGGATTCTCAGTAAGTCGTGTTCCTTTGGTCTGACTGTTTACAAGGGAAGGATCCTGGTCCAAACTCTCAGACATTTTGTCACAGATGATGTCCACCAAGCGTTCAAACACCGCCTTCACATTTATATTCTCCTTTGCTGAAGTTTCAAAAAATTCTAAACCTGCAAAAATTCAAAAGTCTTACTGTGAAAAATTAATATTAAGACAATTTATGGTACATTGTACATGTGTGAGTTATTTATGTAACAGTAAAAATCGTATTTACTCTAATCTACATAAAACTTCACATTTCAATTAATTTTAAAGACTCAGCAAAATATTATGGTGAATCATTCGATTTATCAAGATAAATCTTTGCCTGAAACCCATTTTTCTCATGCTTCTGTGTTTTCAGTTCATATGATAGCAAAGGGATAGGTGAAAGAGATAATAAATATTCCAAAGCAATAACATGACTGCGTAGAACTAATGCAGTGCTTGTCTAAAAGCAAAAATAGCAATTCTATTGATCCAGATTTCTTAGATGTGAGCCTGAGAGTCCCTTTGAATGGAATGAAATTATCTAAAAATACATGATCCATAATAAGACATCACTCCTAGTTATATGTACTTTCTGTTATAGCGACTACAGAGTCTATATTATGCATATGGTTCTGCCTAAAATATATCTTCTTGGGAAAAAAATAATTAAATAATAATAATAATAAATTATTGTTATAGACAAACTCACATAAAACTTACATATATAATTTTTAAATTTTATTCTTTTTGAAACATGTGTAAAGATCAATTATATAAACAAATAAAATTAATATTCAGATTTTATTTTTTACTATAGTTCCTTTTGATACTGATATATGTATAGCAGTTGTTAATTTCTTCTTTAATTCTCCCCACAGAGTCCAATGAAGTGGCAGACCAATTGGTCTTGAGGAGAAACAGAAAAGTGTTATATCACTCCCCAGTGGCCAATATCAATATATGTTTGTTTCCTGACTTAAAAAGGCAATACAAATAGCTTTACATAACAGCTACATTCTCTCACTATCTGACATTTCTTCCTAGCCATGGGTTTTCACAATATTGATCTGTGCTGTGCTCAGAATAAATCAATACAACTCATTACAGTAGGGACTGTATCAGCAGTCAGAATTTTACATCAATGTCCACTTGTTTATGTGTTTTCTATAACTTGGGGTTTAGCTCTGGACTCATAGGGCAGTATACTTAGAAATACTAAATGTAGAGATTTAATTTTTAGTTCTATCTTTAATAAGAATACTTCAAAAAGGCACACTGGAGTAGATGCCTTTCATCCTAACAGACTCCATGATTTAAGAATATATGTAATTGGTGTGACTGATGATCAAGTCTCAGAGATGACAACACCGATCCTGTACCTATCTGATCTGCTAACTGCTTCCCTCTCTCCGTGGATACGACCCTCTCATCTTCAAGGTCACATTTATTGCCAACCAGCACAACCTGGGCATTGTCCCATGAGTAAGTCTTTATCTGTGTACACCTGTAAAAGCAAAAACCTCAGTCACTTCACCCCGGTTACCTCTGGCCACACACCTGTCCCTTCTGCCTGACCTATTGACCTTTGTCTCTCCCCCTGTCTCCTCCTTCACAATTTCTAGGAACAGAATCTAACCAATCACTATAACTAGCTACTGATTAATACAAAAACAAAGGATCAAGTAACAAATAACTTATCACTCTGTCTAGAGGAAGTGGGTGTCCAATCAATGAAGCAAGCAGAGGTGTTTACCCTATTCTGAAGTTTTCAGTAATTTTAATGTTCTTCATCCATAATGTAATATGTTGTATTAATTTCCTAATGAACCTTTGATAACTTTTAGAAATGAATGATTTTTTTTATTATTATACTTCAATTTCAATTTGCCAGCATCCTGAAGGAATGACAATCCCAATATAAATCAGTATAAATCAGGCCTATCATTACTTCAGTATTAATATGACATCAAAAAAAAAAATTTAGAAAATTTTGAGCATAACCCAGAAGCTGAATTTCAGAAGGCCAATACATAATCTGTACTTTGAAACAAAAATCTGGAATAAATATGGAATTTCTGAAATAGTAAACAGCTCTGCTTAAGTAGACAGAACTGATATTCCATGTGTTGCCTCATTTATTTCTTGATTCTTTGTCCTTGTAAAGTTAGAACTACACTTAATAATAAACCCCAAAGCTGAAACCATAATCAACTGAGTAAGATAAAGCTGTCACCTGTTACATTTCTATATTAGTCTACATTAGTCTATATTACTGTTTCCAGCTGTTCGTGATTTTCAGCCTGAGAAAACTCATGGAATGAAGCCTTAAAGAAATTCAACCTGCGGTGATTCATCAACATTTTAATTTGTAATTTGACTAAATTCATAAGAATTATAATCTTTTAACCTCATAATTTATTCAAAATTTTTACCCTTTTTTCATTTACTTTTTAAATCAAAACATTTTGTCAAAACTGACACGATAAAATGCAGTAATAAAATCTCCAGAGCTTCTATCCTTGAGTTTTCCTGATCTTCATGCAAATATGCAGTAGGAAAAGAAGCAAGCCTGCACCTAAGCTTTGGTCTTCTGAGTATATGAGGTAGGCTAACAGAGGGAATTGGGATAGGTCTGTGTGTGTGTGTGTGTGGTAGGGTTATAACATTACCTAATTCTGAGGCCAGATCTTGACCCCGCTGAGTGGAGACCTCACGTGACGCCTCCAAATCACATTTGTTACCCACCAGACAAACACAACAATTGCTCCAAGCATGAGTCTTGATCTGAGTGCACCTAGGTGTACAAAAAGTGGGAATAGGCCACAAAATAAACTCAGCAGTGTAACTGGATATATAAACATAAGAAAGACATTGGTCAGATGTTGTGGAAGAAAGAGAAAACCCAAAATAAGTGAAAATAAAGTATATTACAAGGGTTGATCTAAAAGTTATGTCACAACTGCTGTTATCAACAAAATTTGACATACTCACACTCCTGTTTGTTTTAATTTCTGCCTTAAAATTTCATTCACTTATATAAAATACATATAAAATATTAACATAAAAAACAATGTTCGGTTTTGTATATCGCCGCATGGCGTTACTTTTTGGTAGTCATTTTCAGTTCATCCACAAATCTTTTTTAACCTCTAACGTGCTTCTTTTTACTAATCTTTACTGCATTTTGTTATAAATGGTCTTGTTTTAGGTTGTAGTATTAAAGTTATTTCTTAATTCATTCCTTTCTGTATAGATCTTATGTATGATCAGATTCAAAACGAGTGTCTAAGAGAAAGTTCATAATGACGTTGGTACATTCCTGCCGTGCGGCAATGGGCGAGCCCAACATTGTATTTATTTTATAAAATATTGTATATATCTGAATTAAATTTTGGGAAAAAAGAAAAAAATAGACAGAGGTATAAGTATATAAAGTTTTTTTAAAAACTTTTGATAATTAAAGATTTTATAGTAGTTGTGACATTACTTTGGATCAACCTTCGTTTAAATGATGCAAAATAATATTTACTTGTAATATTCAATATGTATAAATAAAAATGTTCAATATTTACACATAATAGTGTATGTGCATGTGGGGTCATTTTCAGATTTGTGTACATTCATTTACTCTGTAAAAAGGGGGAAATCATAATGGCCAATGAACTCTGTCCCACCCATGATTCTATTTTACTGTTCAATGATTTTTCTATGTAAAATTGATAAATGATTAATTTCATGTAATTATTCATAAATGTAATCTTGTAAAGCTATGAAAACTGAGGGCACCTGTCAGAGAAACAGGTGTGAATACATGTACCAGGTGAGATGTCAAGGTAATTCAAGGTAATGACAACATCCTGTATTGTATACCTGGCAGATATATTTCACACCCACAATGAATTTAATTAACCACATGCCAATTACTACAAGCTACAGCTACATCTTTGTCACTATAGGTCTCTTATAAATTTGATCTGCATTATTTTTCATGCATTTTTATATGCAAAATAGTATAAACTACATGATTTTTACATTGCAATGACTACATGATATAAACAGAAAATTAAAGTTGGAGAACAGCTGTTAGGAATTTATAAAGATATATCTGGACATTCCCAGTATATTAAATAAAGGATATGTGTCATATGATTTCTGCATGTTGTTATTATAAGTGCAACAGCTGCACAGACATGCTCGGACAAATCTACATATGTATGTGTTAGCATCGTCTAATTATCAGTAACAATGAACTGACTCAGTCTAAATTTGTCCAATGGTGCATTGTTTTTTCTTTAATATTTTAAGACTGATATATATTGCATACAATGGTGATATGTTGGTTATTGCATATGTGATATTTCTGAATATTAACTAGGCTTGCCTACTTTACATCATTGGTAAACTCAGATGCACAATTAGCTGATTTTTTTTTCAACAAACCAACATATAAGATTAAAAATTAGCAAAGGAACAGAGAATACACGGTTGACTAGGCCCCTAAAAACTGAATCCAGGCCTCACAATTGCAAAGCAAGAGCTTCAACCACAAGGAGTGAAATGGTTCACTGCAGTATCTATTCACAGTGGTATTTTCTTCAGTTTGATAAACAGTACAAATTCTCCATTTTAAGTTCAATTCATTTTTCAGTCGGGATGGCTATTCAGTCAGGTTTGGCATTTGTAAAAACACACTACACAGCTCAGGACTAATAGTTAGTAGAATAATTATTCTACAACAGACAATTCATTCTAATTAATTTCTTCTAAAAGTAACAAAACTAAAAAAAAAACAGAATTCACAAAATTGTACAGTTTCACAGCTTTCTCCTTCAGCTCCTATATTAAATAAATTCGTCAGTGCCAGGGCATAATATCCATTAATGAATTTAATGACATCTTATAATCTGTGCTGAAAAATGTCCAGAAATGCCTGAACTGATGCGACATTGGTTAATAATACCCTCACTGTGTAAAAGCAGGAGAAAAAAGCCAGGACACCATTGGACAAATCAGTTACATTATTGACACTTGATCATGTAATGAGTATATCACAAATCCTTTTGATACTAGGTGGCTCCCTCATGACAAAAGTGTATGCAATATATTCCATACATGATCTTGTGTCACCATTTCTCTTAATTTTCTTAACAAGTTGAACACTATTTTAGACACCTAAAGCAAAAATGAAATAAATGCTACATATCATACATCCCTTCTCTGCGTATTTTATAATTTTGACTATCGTTGATACTGACCAGTCCATGACAGCGTTGAAGGACTCCTCGTTTGTGACGTCGTACATTAAGATAAATCCCATAGCACCTCTGTAGTAGGCTGTCGTGATAGTGCGGTATCGCTCCTGGCCCGCCGTATCCTGTAATACAGAGGTTACAATAACAAGCTGCAACATCTCCAGTCGTATAAAACAGTTCTCTAAATGATATATGCATTTATTGCAGATCACCAAATTTTTGTGACACCTTATTTGAAGAGATAGTTACTGTATGTGTACTTAAAAAAGCGGGCTTCATATTTTAGCGCCTTTGGCGCAGACAACAATGTGCTAATTAATGAATACTGTTAAAAATATTCATTAATAAACACAATACATGGGGCAGACCTATGTAGTGCTAATTCATGATTACGCCAGCTACTGAATACCCAGTGATAGCGCTAAATTTTGAATACCATACGCCAATTTATGTACACGTACAGTATATATCATGGTATTTATAAGCGAGACAAATTTTCATGAATTCCGGTTATTATTGTACTTAAATGTATGTAACATGATATTAAAAAATGTGCGAGAATTAAATTTTCTGAGCAAACTGTCTCTTGTAATATTAAGCGAAAATAAAGTTGTCGTCAATGTAAAGTGATGTGCAGTAATACAAGCTTATTTAAACAGCATTAGTCTAGCAGTGTATAAGTACATTTCTCACTGTTTTGACCAGGCTGGCATTTTCAATCTAAGTGTTGCAAAGCTAAGACTGGAAATTATTCTAATTAATCATGTAAATGGAAATTCACCTATCAAAGTATGTATCAGATTTCACTGAATGTCAGGTTTACTAATCCTAGTTCATCATGAAATGCCAATATTTTTTTTTTTTTAAGTGTACTAGATTACTATTTGATTAAATTCAAAATGTTATAGGTTAGCTCTGCAGTAAAATATCTGTGTGACAATTCACAGAAAGCTTTTTTTTGTAATTACATCACAGAGAATAACTTCCCCTCTATAACACAGTGATATACCAACTCACTGTGTGTAACCACGGTGATGCAGTTCAAACAAAATGTAATATCCTGAGATTAAGCAATTTGCAGTACAAGATAAAACAGTTTGATTTTACCAGATTTGACAGGATGGGACACATTTATAAATATTTAATTACTGATTGATTATTGTAAAGCCTCCCTGACAGGAATTCTGTTTCAGAATCAATCTATAAAGGCTAGAGAACTGTATTCATTCCCTTCTTACAACAGAAGAGCTTACTTATAGATAATTTATTGTCTACATACTTAGATTTTATCAAGACATTTTTTTGACTATTATTGATTAAAGAATATGGTTCTTACTTCAAACTTCTGAATAATGAAATTGTAGTACCTTATATTGAGCTTTAACTACAATAAAATAAAGATGCAAACAAACTAAACAGCCATCCATATTATTTTCAAAACCAACCGATGATGAGATTTACGTAACTTTTTTAAAAATTTTGTAATGGTGATTCCATCCTGGCACTGTGTATCAAAATTATAAGTCATGTATCTATAACTATAAAGTCTAATTATCATGCCTATGATTTGATCAAATGTCACTGCTGTTCAATTATAGTATGGAACATGTACAGTATGCTATTGTAATTGGAAATGAAAGCTGCAGCGGATTTTAAGAGTTGAAGTAAAACATTGCAATTGATCTTAAGTCTCATCTTTAATGTTAGACATGCAACAGAAGAAATTTGAGAAAAACTATGTTGAGTTCTTGCTAATATTGGTGAAATTAAACAGATGTTATGATGTAATAATGCTGAATTACAAATCTAATGTGACTTAATATGCTGACAATATCACTGCATAGCTGCCCTGATGCAGAAAGGTATACATACCATTTTATGCTACCTGATTAAAGAATGTTCTTTAATTTAAATTTATGCTCTATTTTTTAAGACTGATTTGGTCATAAATTTAAGTTCCCTCTAATGAATAAATCCTGCAATCATAGTTAGCTTTCTAGTTTTATCTGAGAAAGACAGGAGTTAATTATAACCTATACAACAGAGCAGTACATTTTTTTACCATAGAATGATGAATTTTCCTATCTGTAAATTTTTCAATGTTCTCCCCCTACCCTAAGAAACAAGTTCTTGTGTCGTACAATGACAAGTAAACCTTTCAACTTATCTTGAATCACTGCCTCAATACCTACCCATATCTGGAGTTTGACCCGCTTGTCTTGTCTGAACACAGTTTTTACTTTGAAGTCAATGCCGACAGTACTGACGAAAGCTGACGTAAACGAATCGTCAGCGTATCGGAACAGGAAGGAAGTCTTTCCCACACTGCTATTTCCTATGATGAGCAGTTTAAACATATAATCAAAGTTCTGGTCTGCGGCATCCTTCTGCCACTTGGAATCATTTGCTGATGCCATCTGTAAAAAAAAAAAAAAATTACTGTAAACTTTACATCCAACTTTGAAAAATAGTACTCCTACAAAGACAATCCATAATTTTACACAGCTAATACAGAAAAAAGTCATTTCCAAGATTACTTTACGGTCCCATACTGAACACTGAAAGCAAAATAGGAGTTATTATGCAGTTGTATATTTTGAGAAGGGAGGTAATAACAAATTGTATTGACTCCCTGTGAATACCACTGGCATCTGATGCCTGGACACAGCCACCCCTGAAATAACCAGTCAACACTGTGCTATCCTGTATACATTACACATAGGTCTATAATCAATATCATTTTATGTAACATCACTCAACAGGCAGTTTAAAATCTCCTACCAATAATCTAATTCATACTTCTTAAACACAAACTCTATGACCAAATCACAAATACCTTTTCAATACAGTTCAAGTATCACACAAACACACACAAAGTCAAATAATCCAAACACCAAATGACACCAAGAGCTGGCAGAGGTTGGTAGTAGATGTTAGAGTGAGGGTGAGAGCTACCCCCAGGGCTAGAAATAGACAAGACCAGCAGCTGGAGACCACGTAACAACACAGAATACAACAGTCTCTGATTGTGATGTCAGACTCTCATCAGTAAAAACATTATTGATTGGCTTCTTACTCCAATAACCAATCAGCTCTCAGCTTACTGTATACTGACGCAGTAATACAGGTTCACTTAACTGAGGGGGTAATGACTTCTCTATTGAAATCTTTCCTCTCCTTCTCCCTTTCTTTAAGGCCTACACAATTGATCACAAAAGGCATATGTGCTGTTTTAAAGATTTTTATGACGTTCTTCAGACTATATTACATATGGAAATAGATTTGTTTTATTTATATGCTTAACATCAACAGTACATAACAATTCAGACTAACACAGAATTCCAGAGAGTATTTAAAACCTCCAAAAGCCTGATTTATCTTACCAATAAATTAAATATTCACCCATCTTTCATTGAATCCATCTTAATATTTACCGAATTTTCCTTGCGATGAAACCATGTACAACTTTTTTTGAAATTCATGTAGCTTAATTAATTTGTATTAATGGCTGGTGTACCGTAAATAACTTTAAAAAAAAACAATTCTTCAGGAGATCCACCACCTAGTTGTTTTTCTTTCTCATCCTACAGCATACCTTTTACAACTGTAGAAATTTCAATGAAATCGTACTCCGAACATTTAGAGGTATCCATAAACAGATAACCATGTAATTAGTAGGTAATTAAATGGACTCCTGATCTCATTGTGCAAAATTGACATCTGAAAAGCTCTTTTTTTTAATCCCCCTCCCCCCAGTATTTAGGAGAAAATACTCCACTGATCAATTTTATGAACTAAAAATAAAACAAGAGGCCCATGGGCCACAATGCTCTCCTGAGTCACACTGGCCCTGCTGTTGTTCAAAGAAAGATTTCAGAAAGATTGGGTATTCAATATGACTATCTGTTCTGGAGAGAAATATTTAAAGATGTTTTTTTTTTATCTCTATACATGCTGTAAGAAAAATTTGATTCCTAACTAGCTCCTGTCTTACTCAAGGATCCATAATATGAAAAAGAAAAAAAAAACATCCAAACAACTTGGGAATGTTTGCATATTCAATTAATATGATTTTAAAGGGACCTGCTACTCTTTATTGATTAGTAATTTTTTATGGTAAATTCCTAAATATTCCAATGTATAGCTTTGATCCCCTACTGTCAAGTACTGTGGTCCCACCCTAACCCTAAGGGCCATGATTTGAAGAAACTGCAATTCCTGAGGATGCTTGCATATTAATATGACAAATTTTGGTCCTGCTGTTCTTGAGATTTTAAAATCTTTTTCAACTGTAGATTCATTAATATATGTGAGAAATTTATTACAGTGTAATGTTGTGAGAAGCACTACTTGCGAAATAAAATTACTCGCTTAAATTTTTGTATTCTTGAATTACATGTACAGCACTCGCTTAAAACAAAGAATCTTCTGTACAGTATATATTCCCTTGTAACATTCTGATCCTTTATTGTGACACCATCCTACCCTCATGAAAACAAATTTGAATCTGCACTACCTGAAAACACTTGCCTAATCACATGACTAATCATGGCCTAGATGTTCAGGAGAAGATTTTTAAAAGCTTAATTTATACTATAGTATGTATTCCAATGTAAAACTTTGATCCCCTATTGTAGTCCCACCCTACCTCCAGGGGGCAACAGACTGAACACACATCTGCACTGAGGATGCTTGCATATTAATTTGATTAATCTTGGCCCTGCTGTTCTTGAAAAAAAAGATTTCTTAATTTTCACTACATACTCTGTTCCCTTATTGTGGCCCCACCCTACCCCTGGGATCACAATTTGAACAAATTTAAAATCTACACTATGTCAGGAGGCTTTCACATAACTTTCTTTTCTGGACCAATGGTTCTTGAGAAGATTTTTAAAGTACCATACCCTATTTTTGCCTTTTCTTGATTACCTCCCATTGCAAGAGGGTGTGGTTCTTAATTTGAACAAACTTGAATCCCTTTAACTAAGAATACTCTATGCCAAGTTTGGTTGAAATTTGACAAGTGGTTCTGGAGAAGAAGATGAAACTGAAAAGTTTACAATGATGATAATGGACAACAGACAAATTTCGATCAGAGATGCTTACTTGAGCCTTTTGCTCAGGTGAGCTAAGAAAGCTGGTATAATCTATAAGGAACAATGATGTATGGTATGTCAACTGGGGTGTAATAATCTGCTTCCATTTAAATGCTAAAACCATGAATGGAGCTGCTGTGTTTGATTTTGTGACATTTTTCTCTAATCAGCCTGACTGACATTATCAGGGCTATTATTAGCCTCAGCAGTATGCTTGTTAGGAGAGAAGCATTGATTTAGTAATGATAAGGACAGTCTACCAAAGTCACTTTTCCCACTACAAGTAGCATTATCCTACGGGTATTTTACCGAATCTATATCTGTCCTCAGTGATTCCACTGTACGACTCTTCTCTGTGTTCGTTGAACTGCAGTTTTAATTATTGAGCCCTGAAGGCCTACATGCTACGATCACATGCCTACAGGAGACTGGCATATAGATCGGCAGTCCGTTAAATTCCTATACAAATCAATGCAGTCTGAATGGCTTTAAAACACAGCAATTGATTCCTAGGTCTTCTCACATTGTCTTGAATTTTTCAGATAAAAAAGCTGCAACATCAATAAGCAGCAAACATTAAATAGCAAGGACTTCAAATGCTGCAATATCGGCAATTAACTCAATATATTGATCAGTTACCATAACAACCCTTATTCAGTCTCTCTCTTAGGAAATCTGGGCACCCTTCTGATGTGAATTAGACTACAATGTGTATATGTATGTAGAGAGACATTACCTCACAAGATTATGTACAGAATGAGACACTGTGGTAAATTTGAGAAAAAAAATTTTATCACATGAAATTCTGCCCAATTATTCCAATCATAAAAAAAATATATTATGTATATCTGATTATCCTATAGAGTTTTCAGAAATTTTTATGTGTGGTTATCGGGGTTATCCATAAGACCTGGGGGTCGGAGAATTTCCCCACCTATAATGACATAATTCCTTGGTTATTCTGGTATTTTCAATCAACCCCGTTAGGGGAGGAACCCCAAACCCCCTTCTACTTTTTTAATGTCCCCTGCTATTTCAATTCTTAGAGACAACCCTGGGTAATACAGAAGAAATATGTTAAATCGGTAAGAAAATTGGAAATGAATAGTTTTGACTTATTTTAATATTAAGAATTTTTAATTTCAAATTATATAACATTTACACCTGTACATTAACAAGTTTTAATTTCAAAGCTTATGATAATATTTACTTTCATATCACTATGATTTGGGTTGGTTTCTGATTTTAAAGGGGTCTGGACACAGTTGCATTGTTTACATTTTAAATTTCTATGCTTATTCCAAAAAAAAAAAGTTAAATAAATTGAACTTACATGAATATTTTTAGAATTCAATGACAACGACATTCTGAGAAAATATTAACTGCAAATCTGTGTCCAGGCCCCTTTAAGAGATGATAAAATAATGATTTTGGATTGCCTATATTTTCTTATATTCATTGTGACACCATAACAAACTTATATATATTAATTAACTTTCACATTTGAAAAACACAATACTCAGAAAAACAGCTAGCACACAGAAAACATTTCTGATGATATCATTCATAGTCTGAACCAAAATCCTACTTTCATTTTAATTCTTCTTTTGGAAGAAAATTAAATTTCTTGGATAAGGACATATGCGATATAGTTTTGAACATATTTACTTATTGGTATTTCCAGTTAATAATTGAAGGACCTTTGTGTCACTTTCATAATGTCTAATGATGTTGTGCACCTAAATCGTGAGGGGCATCTAAAACTGTATTTTTTTTTAAATTTTTCTTTGAATAACACAAGGATTTTCATCATTTGATATCTTTCTAAAACACCTGGTAATGAATGCTGATTTTTAGTCTCAGAATATCTAATAGGACTATTACTTAAAATCAAGAATATCTTGAAAAATTATCTGTATAGGTAAGGTACTTTGTATTAAGGTATGTGTACATGTATGCTGCATATGACCTTAACAGCATATTTTTTATGGAAAACCTGCAGACATTACCTAATCACTGAAAAACTTTTTTTTGTTTTTTTTTGTTTTTTTTTACTTTTGACCTACATAATTCATTGGTTGCAAACACCATAAAATATATATATATAAACGTGAAAACTTCAAACAGAGAGCTAGACAATTAAACAACGGACACTTGATGATTGCATGAGCTCTTTGGTCTCAAAACCATAAACTTTAAACAGATTTAAGCCGAAATTGCAAATATATTTATCTTTTGAAACAGAATTTTCATCATGTGCTTGTATTTGAATAATATACAAACATGCAACTAGTTAAACATGTGTCAAAGAAAAATGAATCTGCTCAAAACCTAAATTTGGTCTTTGACCTGCAGAAAAATAAACCACACAATGAAATGAAAATCTTTGTATATTTTTGACATCTCTTATTTATATTTATATTAATGGATATAAAGAAATATATTTGTAAAGAAAACAAAATCATCCATCCCTGGCACTTCGTTATAAGCGTATTTTACTGTATCTATACTAAGAATGGTATTTTAGATCACTGGTTTTGGCTCTTCAGTCAAAAGTCGTATCATAAAAATAACATTTAGATGCCTTGATAGAATCATAAAATAGTATTTAAACACTGAACTTTAAAAGGTAAAATTTCATCCTAAGGTAAATGAATATAAATGTTTGTTTCCTGTAACATGTTTTATGAGGTCATTAGAATTTTTCTTGACTGACTTAAGCTGTACTCAATAAGACAACTACATAAAAAATAAACAGACTAATCCTTTACATATATGATCCACCAGACATGGAGTTTTAAGGTCTGATCATGTAAGCCACACCTTACCATATTTTCCCCATACTTCAAATGAACTTGAGATT